TGGGGGTGTTGAGGGACGGGGGGAGACCGGGTGTGGGGAGCGGTGAGGTGAGCTGGGGGGTCAGGGCGGAAAGGGGGGTAGGGGAAATGGGTGTGGAGACCTGAGAGCTTAGTTGTGGTGTGGGAGGCGGGGTTAGTGAGGAGGCTGGGGGCAGCCGGGCATGGGAGGTAGTGAGGAGAGCAGTGGGTGGCAGGGGCTGGAGGGTGCGGGTGAGGGAGTGCCCGGGGGAAAAAGGTCCTTGGAGGGGGGCCCAGGAGGCGGCCAGAGATGGGAAAGGACACGCTGTTCATGGGAGGTGTCCTGAGACTGAGGTGAGGGAGAGGGTTGAGTGGAAGGGGTCCGACCAAGTTTTAGAGGGCCAAGTGGGACAGAAGAGACACACACATTTTCCTTTCCCTTATGGTGTGGGGGAGGCTTTATTCCTCACCCTCAGTGGGGATGTGAGGAAAGAAGAGATGTGGAGAAAACTCCAGCATGTGGGCAAGCCCCACCTTACACCTGCAGGGAAGGCACTGACACTCGCGCTGGCCCCAGGGCTCAGGTCTCATTCACGTGGGGACAGTCCACCTCCTCTCACAGCGTGGCTGGCTTGGGGCCTTAGAGCTGTTTCCTGCTCTGATGTATCGGGGCCGTGAGCAGCAATTTCAGATGGGAGAGCAGAGATGATGCTGGGCTCTGAGGTGCTGGCAGCTGGTCTCAATCCCATTCCTTTTCCACTCTCTAGCACTCGCAGCAGCTGAAGCATTCAGCATGGCTGGCCCTGGCACCACACCGCTTGAACTCCGGCCTGCCTGTGAATATTGGGGTGCTCTTTGTGCCGCAGCAGGAGGCTTGGGTGGTGGAGAGGATGGGCAAGTTCCACCGAATCCTCGAGCCTGTAAGGAGCTGCTTTTCTCCCCTTCTGGATTCAGCAGGTTCCTAAAGCTTTAGCGAGACGCGTCCTTTGCGTGAGGATTCGGAGGGTGGTGTGCTAAATGATAGATCATGGAATGGTTTGGGTTGGAAGGGACCTTAAAGATCACCCTGTCCCAACCCCACTGCCACGGGCAGGGACACCTTCCACCAGCCCAGGTTGCCCAAAGCCCCATCCAGCCTGGCCTTGAACACTGCCAGGGAGGGGGCAGCCACAGCTTCTCTGGGAAACCTGTGCCAGGGCCTCACCACCCTCACAGGGAAGGATTTCTTTCTTATATCTAATCTAAATCTACTCTCTATCACTTTTAAAACCATTGCAGCTCATCGTATCCTTACAACCCCTGATAAAGGGTCCCTCCCCACCTTTCCTGTAGCCCCTTTATGTACTGGAAGGCCGCTCTAAGATCTCCCCAGAGCCTTTCTTTTCTTCAGTCTGAACAACCCCAACTCTCTCAGCCTGTCCTCACAGGGCAGGTGCTCCAGCCCCATTATTATTTTTGTGGCCTCCTCTGGACGTGCTTGAGCAGGTCCGTGTCCTTATGCTGGGGGCTCAAGAATGGCAGTTCTTCCAGACTGCAATCCTTTTGACTGCCTGTAGACTAATTCTCTTGGTGGAGTGTTAAAAGCATTGAGAAATGTAAATTCCCCCCTTGTTTAAAGAATGTTTGCTCTGCCTGCAGCATGTGGTGTACTTGGGTTTTGTTTAGCCAGTGCTCTCTAGTCTGACTAAGCTCTTTGGGGGGAAAGTCCCAGAATAGAGGGCTCAGCTATCTTATTCCACCATTTTCTTAGGGCTTGAACTTCCTCATCCCTCTGCTGGATCGAATTCGTTATGTGCAGAGTCTCAAAGAAATAGTGATTAATGTTCCGGAGCAGTCAGCTGTCACCCTAGGTAAGGAACAGCTTCTGTGTCCTGCCTCTTTCCTTCTGCTGCATTTGGGGTGAGCAAGGGACAGTGTGGGGAGGAGTGGAAGTGTCCCAAGGACTAACCCCGGGGACTCAGGCTTGGCCATGCTGGTGCTGTGAGCAGGTGCACCCCAGGAGGTTGTGGCTGCCCCTTCTTGCTGGGTTGGATGCACCTGGATAGGAATCCATTTTTCAGATGTTTTCCTATGTTGAACCACAAAAAATCTCTGTGTTTCTGTAAAAAAAGATTTCAGATCGGGAGATCGGGTTCACAGACTACTCTGTTACAATTCTAGTATTAAGCTTTTTGGTTTGTTTTTTTTTTTTTTTCCTTCAAATCTTTGTTTATGAAGATAACTGCAGTATGAAGTGTTTTGATCTGGAAACCTAAGTCTCCTTGTGTATTAAAACATCAACATGTAGTATTTTCTAGGGAACATCAAAGTTATTTGTATAAAGTCTTTTAGATAAGGAGATCCGCATCAGCAAACCCCTCTTTGGTGCCATACTGTTGACACAAGGAAGGAAAGGGATGAACCTGTCCAGCTCTCCTGGTTCTGTCGGGGGAGACATGGTTGGGTTGCCATATTTTGTCTTTGCTGCTTCAGCAAACAGGACATGTTGTTCTCTCCCGGCAGATAACGTCACCCTGCAGATTGATGGTGTGCTCTATCTGCGGGTTATGGACCCCTACAAGGTACTGTCCCTGCTGCACCGACACTCGGCCTGAGTCAAACTTGCAGCCTCAGCCTTGGTCAAACTTGCAGCCTCCATGTCTGCGCTCAGTGTGGTCTGCGTGTGCCGCGCTGCTCAGCTGGCTGCCTTGGCAGCCCCACAGGCACCACTCACCTGCCTCTGCTGGCTCCCTTCTCCCCATGACACGTGCTTCAGCCTCTGCCCAGCTTGCTGCATCCTGCAAGGCGGGTGGGCTGAGCACCCCGATCCCTCATGAGGCTCTGGACTCCGCTTTTCTTTGGCAGGGGTATCTGTGGCAGGTTTCTTGTCTTAGGACTATGTTTGCCTCATTTGGGGTCCCCCTCTGCACTGCCATTGACTCGTGTTTTTTTCTTCTGCTCTCCAGGCCAGCTATGGAGTGGAAGATCCTGAGTATGCAGTGACCCAGCTGGCCCAGACCACCATGAGATCTGAACTTGGCAAACTCTCCCTCGACAGAGTCTTCCGGGTGAGCTGGGGAGGTAGATCACCGAGCTGCCAGCATCTCGAAACCCCAGGGCAGTCTGCACAGACAGCCTGATATGCTTAACAGCAAAACACTCTTAGCTTAGAGGGCTTCTGTTTCAGCTGACCTATTAGTGAATCCTTGGAGATGGGTATTGTTTCTATTACTTTTTTGTTTAAAAGAAGCTATTTTTTACTCTGCCCTGGGTTAGTTGGAAAAGGTGATGGGTAGAGTGTGCCCAGGCCTGGCTGGTCCAGCTGCATTTCTCTTGAGTTGGTGACTCTTTGCTCAGGCTCAGTGATGAATGTCTTGGCTAACTTGGTTCATGGGCAGCTGTAACCCTCCTGCATTTGCTGGGCAGAAACAGGAGCTGTTGGCATTCATGGATGATGTTTATATCCAGATGTATGCCAGATGTTTGTATCCCAGCAGTTTCAGTTTGGGCCACTGCTCTCCCTGGGAGATAGTGACCCCTTCAAGAGATGTGGGAAGTACTTGACCCTGCCTTATGCCTGTGGAGATGGGTTTTTCTAGCTGACCTTGGTCTGTGAAGGGGGGAGCCCTCTGTTTCCCTCCTGACCCCTGTCTCACACTAAGCACCTTTTTTCTCTCGGCTGTTTCTTTTGTTGCCTCCCAGGAGCGGGAGTCCCTCAATGCCAACATTGTGGATGCCATCAACCAGGCTTCAGACTGCTGGGGCATCCGGTGCCTGCGCTATGAGATCAAGGACATCCATGTACCCCCGCGTGTGAAGGAATCCATGCAGATGCAGGTTTAGTTCTCTGGGAGGGAGGTCTGGAAGTCTCCCCTCCCATGTCGCACCATTATCTGTCCAGAGCTGGCAGCGCTGGCCCGTCCTGTGGTGAGGAAAGGCCACCGGTGCTTTGGCTGCTAACATAACAGCTACTGAATAATTCCCATCCTTATTTTGGTGATGGTGGCCCCTGCCTGGTACACGCAAGCCCTGCCAGCTTTAAAATCCCTCCTGAACTCTCTAGGAAGCAAATCCTAGAGCTGAAGATCTCCCCTTGAGAAAAACTGGGTGCTAGATCTCTGGTCTGGAAGATCTCCAGTCTGGAGGGGGATGTGGCTGGCTGGTTAGGTGCAGAGGGCTGTGCAACATGAAGAGCAGAACCAGACCTCTCTGGGGATCAATGCAGTGTTTTACAGCTGCGTTCTTACTCTTTGCTAAGCCATGCTTGCTCAAGTGGGACCTAGAAACGCATCCTCACTGCACTTGCCCCACGGATGGGATTTCCCCAGTGTGACCCTGGCAGTCTGGTGTCTGACCTGTGTTTGCAGGTGGAAGCAGAGCGACGGAAGCGGGCAACGGTGCTGGAGTCGGAGGGGACACGGGAGTCGGCCATCAATGTGGCTGAGGGGCAGAAGCAGGCCCAGATCCTGGCGTCAGAAGCTGAGAAGGCTGAACAAATCAACAAAGCTGCTGGTAGTGCCTTGGGCTAGAATGTACGGGGTCTGGGGAATCTGTACGCAGCCCTCTGCACTGAGGGGTGCTGCTCCCAGGGAGCAGATGGCACCGCTGTCTGTGGGCCAGGCTTCCTCAGCTACACTGATCCTTCCCTGCTGGGTCCCTCAGGCTGAGCTCCAGCTCGCGCTGCTGTCCCGCAGCCTGGGTGAGCAGGAGGTGTGTGTCAGGAGCTGTCACCGTGCCACTGCTGGGGAAGAGAAAGCTTTGCATGTGTGAAATCTTCTCGATTTGCTCCTTGAACCTGTCCTGATTCGCTCCTTTCAAGTGCTTTGCTGTGGTCCTGATGCGTGTTCTGCTGTGGTTTGTTGCAGGGGAAGCCAACGCCATGCTGGTCAAGGCCAGGGCCAAGGCCGAGGCTATTCAGCTCCTGGCAGCAGCTCTGGCACAGCAGGTGAGCTCCTCCCCTTTGGGGCAGCCACTGCTTTGGTGCTGGCACTGGGGGAGGTGAAACTGTGGCTGGCGTGGCACCTGGCTTGCTTTGGACAACTCCCTGGCATCTGCAGCAGCAGCAAGCGAGGAGTTTTGCTGTCTCGGGGCCCGTGACCAGCCGTGGTGGGCTGCAGAAAGGATCATGGGTGAGCTCTTGGTGGTATGTGACTTATGGCTGAACCTCGCCCCTCTCTCCCCAGAACGGCAGCGCTGCTGCCTCTCTCTCTGTGGCAGAGCAGTACGTGAATGCCTTCTCCAAGCTTGCCAAAGATTCCAACACCCTTCTCCTGCCCACCAACACCGGTGACATCACCAGCATGGTCACGCAGGTCAGTGTTGTCGGAGGGACCCCCGTCTCTTGCCCAGGGGAGGTGGAGGTGGCTGCCTGCTGGGGCCTGGCCCTCTCCCCTCCCTGCAACTCTCTTGTTCCTTCCAGGCCCTGGGCATCTACACCACGCTGACCAAGCCACAGGCTGTGAAGACCCAAGACGAGATGCCCCCAGTCCGCGAGGACCCCCAGGCTCCTCCCGCAGAGGTGCTGAAGGCAGAAGAGGCCAGCTCCAGCTAGTGGGACTGGAAGGGTCCCCCACCCTCCCCTGGGGGCTGCTGGAAGTCCTGTCCTGCCACTCTTCCCCCTTAAGACGCTCTTCTTCCCTTGGTTTTTATTTTATATTTGGATTTAAATAATGTAATAAATGGTACCAGTGCTGCCGCAGCACCTCCCCTGGCATGCAGGAGCCTGACTTGTCACCCCACTGTCTGCAACCAAAGAGGGACCATCCCTCCTAAACCGGCTCCTGTCAGCAGCTCCCACAGGCAGGGAACCACGGCACCCTTCTCCCGGGGACGTGACTGATTAATGAATTAAAGGAACGCCTCGGTCGGACTGGGGGTGCCCGGGCTGTCCCCCCACACCCCCCAACGCCGAGGCGGCAGGTGGGCTCCGGCGGCG